GACAACACCTTTATAATCTCATGAGACGGAAAGCCTCTCTGACTATGACTCAAAATCCAGAAGCCATAAAAGAAAAGGTTAATGCATTTGGCTAAAAAAATGAAAAATTTCTAACAAAAAACAAAAAGCACCATGAGTAAAAAGACAAATAACAAACTGGAGAAAATGTTTGTAACTCATTTCACAAAAGGCTATATTTTCTAATAAGTAATGAATTCTTACAAATTTATAAGGAAAAGACCAATAAATCTAATAGATTGGTGGGCAAAGGCAATTAGAGGTAGTTCATAGACAAAGAAATACAAATGGGTTTACCCAGAAATCCCACTTTTGGAATTTATCCTATAGATGTACCTGCCCATATGTGAAATGGTATTTATACAAGGTTATACATTGCAGAAGCTCTGGTAGCATAGTGGCTAAGGCACTTGACTGCTAACCAGAAGGCTGGTGGTTCAAACCCACCAGCCACTCCTCAGAAGGAAGGTTGGGCAATCTACTTCCGTAGTGATACTGCCTCGGAAACGCAAGGAGGGGTTGCTAGGAGTTGGGTCTGACTTGACGGCACATAACAACAACAACAATACATTGCAAAAAGTTGGAAATGATCCAAATGTCCATCTCTGCTTCCCTAGGGTTTCTTCAGTTTTTGTGTGCAGTTCGGGTGTCCATCTACCTCTCTCAGTTCTATACAATCTCTAGGCACAGAAGCCAACAACCTCTCCTGATCTGCAATCTTGTGGGAAACCTGAAATTAGCCTCATTTTAAATTGTGGGTTTTCTATCGCTGAAGAAGAAATGTAATCTCTGAGCCTCCTTTCATTTTTTTCTTCCATAAAATGAGAAGTTTGAAATAAATGATCTCAAGCTATTCTAACTTTAACATCCTGTGATTCTGGGTGGTAGATGAAGAGATGACAGGTAAACTATGCTGAGACATTGTAAGACTTCACAGTTACCAAGGAAATAAAGACATATGGGGGAATACCCAACAAGAGACTGTGATTAGCAAGAATGGATGTCACATTTAGGAGGTGGAATGTCAATCAAGTTTCAAGGAATTAGGAGAAGGGGAAGAATGTTGGCAGAGGTTCACAAGAGAAAGAGAAGCCACTGCTTAAAAGAAAGTTTGGAGGAGAATTGGCAAGTCTTGATGATGACAAAATTGGTTATCCACTCTGGGGGCAGATGTAATATTTTTCTTTTCAATTTATTATTAGATATTTGAGGCATACTAAAGGGTATGAAGAATAATGTCATGGACACTTGTGTTCCAATGACCAATCTCAAATGTCACACGTCACCAATAGCTTGCCTTTGGTTGCTGCCTTGGCCACCTTCCCCCAACAATATGCCTTCTTAACTGGGTGACAGTGGAAAAGATACTTTACCTCTCTGAGTGTCCATCTTCTCCTCTGTAAAATGGAGATAAAGGTAATAATAGTACCTACCTTGGTAGCTCTGGTGGCACTAACCAGTAAATTGGTGGTTCAAACCCACCTGCTCCACCAGAGGAAGATGAGGCAATCCACTTACACAAAGATTTATGGCCTTGGAAACCCCATGGGAAAACCCACTGAGGTTGTTGGGTCAGAATGGGCTCCATGGCAGTTGGTTTGGTTTGGGTTTGGTTTAGTACCTACCTAGAGAGGGTGGTTTTAAGAATTAAGTGAATGAGTGAAGTGTATTATTAGTGCTATTAAGATTCACTCAAATGTTAGGTAAGCACTTTGATGTGTCAGAATTGTGCCAGACCCTAGAAGCAAATGATGGGAGAAACTCACCCTTCCAGGAGTTCATGGTTATTATTGTTCTTGTTGCTCTCCCCCTACTGGGTTTGATTCTTTAGGGTCCCCTGAGTGCAGAAGCCAGCACTGGTTTAGGGGCTTGTTGTGGGGATTTGGGGGGCTGTGTTCCGGGTGGACTGGGGGCTGCCTGCTGCCTCTGCTGAGCCCACCAGGCTGATTGGAGGCGTCTGGACTTGTGTTTCCGCAGAGGAGATTGGGGCAAGGATGGAGAGGAGGAGGACGGGGGTTGGGCAGCGCCCCCCCAATGGGTCTTTTCCTCCTCGTGGGCCCAGGAATCCGAGCCAGCGGGAGGCCGGTAGGGGGCGCTAGAGGACCGACAATGCTGCGGAAAGGGCAGTTACTGAGCACCCACGCCAAGTCCAGGCTCTGGGACCCCACACGCCTCCATCCTACACAGGCTTCCTTCCCACCCAGGGAGGGAGAGCCGGACCAGGTGACCGGTGTTGGGAAAGGAAGGAGCGCGAGAAAACGGAACTCTGGAGCCTGTCCGCCAGCCGGAGCGCGCTCGAGGGCTGGTCGTTACCTTAAAGCCAGGGTCTAACGTGGAGGACCGGAGGCACATGGCATCTGCAACATTGAGTGGATGCATTTACCCTGATAGGGTTAAAAAGGACAGTGATCGTAAAGAAAACTCTGAAAATGTGAAATATACATGACCCTGCTTTGACATGTCTTCAAAATTTAATAATCTAAGAACCTCAAAATGGGGCACCGGTCCTGATTTCCTTACCTTCTTCATACCTCTGTTGGCCGTGTTTCTTCAGTCCCAGGCTTCTTCGCTATCCTCACATACCCAGCTCTGCACACCCCATACCAATGGTTGTTAAAACTCAGACCTCCCCTCCCCTTCAGGAATGTCCAGTCCCTCCCTCCTGCACATCCCCCCCACACACACCCAGGTTTCTCTGTCCTCCCCCGCCCCTGCCTCAGCTAAGCCCTTCTCTCCTTTCTCCTTGTCCATCTTTCACAGGCACACCAGAACCTGGGAGGGAGGCCAGGAGCAGGGCTCCCTCCCAGGGACACCTGAAACCCCCCTGCACCATGATAACCAGCATCTACTCAGGCCTGAATTCCTCCCAGAATTCCTGAGAGGTAAGGACAGGTATAAGGAGTGCGACCCCAGTAAGTATGGGGTCAGTGAGGTCAGGTGTCAGAGGGCAACAGCTGGATTTCATGTGTAGTCCATGGAACCAGGCACCTTGTTGCTAGGCAACCAGAGTCTCACATCACCACCCTAACACATCATCCTGAGCCACAGGATCTTAAACAGTCTCTCAAGCACCCACCACCCCCTGTTGGACCCTGAAAGCAGGAAGAGGGAGGAAACCAGAGCCCTGCCATCAATCCTTGGGAACCACTGCCACACTTAACGTGAGGATCCAGCTACCTGGGCCTTGAGATCACTGTAGCCATGAGTCTGGGAATCATGGAGGAGGAGGATCTGGCCGAGTACTTCCGGCTGCAGTATGGGGAGCGGCTGCTGCAAATGCTACAGTGAGTGTCTGAGAGCCTGCCTGCCTTAGACCATCCACTCCCCATGCCTCATTCTCCTGCTCCCAACCTGTCTTCTCCTCCTCCTGTAACCCAGGGCTCCAAATCATCCTGCCCCCTCACACTGATACCAATCTACCCCCATCATTCTGATTCACCCACCTTATCACCCTGCTCCCTCACTCTGTGGAGGCTAGCATGCCTCTCTCTTTTTCTCAACACCCCAGTCCTTTCACTCATGGAGGGGAATGACCCTCTTCCCTCCCCATGGGTATCTCTCTCACTGGTTACTGCCCAGCCCCAACCTGCCCCAGATGCATAGAACCCACAGGCCCTTCTTGCTGATGTCTTGAGCAGGAAGTTCCCCTCCATTGAGGAGCAGTCGGAGTCCCCATCCATCCGGCTACTGGAGAAGAAAAAAGAGGCCAAGATCATGCACAGTGCTATGGAGCAGAAGAAGGAGGTGGGGGCTGCAGGGACAGGGTTCGCGGGCGCAGGTCTCTTCCCTCTGGGAAGAACACAAATGATCGGAATCTCTGGTGCTATCGTTGTCCTGGGATGCTGTGCTCTGAGCCAGGCATGGGGTAGAGAGGGAGAGACCTCTTATAGACCCTTCCAGGCCTAAGGATAGAGGCTCTGGGCAGAGGGTGCTGGGACATTCCTTCATACACAGCTGGGGCCCTCCTAACTTCTCTACTCCCCTCAACCTCTAGACATTTAAACGCAAGATGGAAGCCTTGAACCTGCGCTGGGAGGAGCTGGGCATCAAGGAGGCCCAGCTGAAGGCCCACATCCAGAAGTTTGAGCAGTTCATCCAGGTGCATAGGGGTGCGGACGGCTGCAGCAGGCTGGTGGGACCCACACGCAGAGGTCCAGCACACTGTTCTTCTCTATCTCCTTCTCCTTGCTTTTGCCGACTCTCTCTCGCTGGGTTAGATCCTGGGCCAGTGCCCCAGAAATGCCTGGTGCTTCCCCTTTTCGATCCTTCATTTAGCACTCTGTTTGGAATTTCCTGTTTATGTGTTAATCTCTGCCCTCTCTAGATTGTTGTTTCCTATTTCCTTACCAGTACCTAGTGCACAGTTAAATCAGTGAGTGAATGAATGAATATACCAACATCAAGGCTGGGCACTTGAGGATACAGAGGTGAATAGGACAGGATCTTAGTCCTCCACCTCCACCCACTCTCCTCTCCATTCTTGCACTGAAGGTCCAGGCAGGAAATGGTCAAAGGAGCAGGCACCAGAGCCCGTTCCCAGACAGCCCTTCTCAATGAGTCCTTAGAGGAGAGATTTAATCATCTTAAAGTCCAGCCAGCACTTATCAAACCCTTAAGGGCCTGGCCCAGCTCCAGAGGCTCACTGCTGCCTTGGGCTATAGAGGAGCCCTCTCTTCAGCATCTTCCATCATGCTTGTGCCTAAAGCAGATAGGAAAGGAAGCTGGTTGGGCTGGGTATCTGAGGGTCAGTCCTTTTACCAACCAGAAAAAAGCTCATGTCATGCAGTTGATGGAGCAGCAGGAGATTTGGGAGTGATGGGTCCTCCAGATGGCTACCAGAGGACTAGTGCTAAAAGGGCAAGGAGGTTCCATTTTCCAACCTCCTCTAACCCTATAAGAGGAAGACAGGATCACCATCAGTAACCCACGGCCTATTCCTACGAGGCCAGACATGCTGCCTCTGTCCAGCCCTTTCACCAACCCTTCCTCCCAAAGCATCCATCACCCCTCTCCTGGGTTCGATAATTCACTGCAGTGACCACATAGAACTCACAGATTATGGGGTTTATTAGGGAAGCATCAGGCTACAATTCGAGTTCAGGAAAAAATGCTCAGTCTCCCAGGCTTCCACTGTCTCTCAACAAACAGTCTCTCACAGTCTCTCCCCCAGCAGTGCGTGTCCCGCAGGAGCACGTCCTTCCTCAGCCAGCAGTCAGACAGAGTTCTGCCTCTAGGAGGCCTCCTTTTGAGCTTGGCAGAGTGGCCAAACTGACCAATCATAACAACAGAATTCTAAGCACCTGAGAGTGAGCCTCCCAGAACATTGCGTTGTGCCATGCCTAACAGAAATAACCCAGGTGAATAACATTTACAATCAGAAGCTCCTCAGTTGCTCATTCCACCACTGAGTTTACAACGACTTATGGGTAGAAAAGCCATTCTAAGTAATTTACTACACCATAACCAGCAATGTGGAAGTCCCTGAAAGCAAGTTACAGATGCCTGGATTCTCTTCTCTATTTGCTTTCAGTAGCTCTGAGGTGGGTCCCAAGCATCTGTATAGTTACAAAGGTCTCAGTGAAAGAGATCTGGATGAACAGTTAGATTTGAAAACCATTGGCTTAGGGCTCTCAGTCCTCTCCTGGGTCTATAGAGCAGAGAAGAAATCTCCTGAGCACATTCCTCCATGTTGTCCAAATACTAGCACCACACATACTCCCTGGTGGAATCAGTGGAGGCCTGGGAGGGGAAAGGGCCACCCAAGTGCCATGTGAGGGGTGGGTTTGCCTCCTACATCTTGGAGAGAGGTCCTGGCAGTAGGAAGGAGAAGACAGGATTGGACTGACTGCAGTAGCTGAGCCTCATGTCATTTTGAGTATCAAATTGCCTGTGCCATCTTCCTTAGCCCTGGCCAGATGCCAATCTGAGCCCCTAGGAACTTGCCACCTGGAATGTCTTCATCCCCTTCAGGCCCTCTGGACAAGGCCCATCACCTGCCTCATCTCCCTATAGCCCAAGCACTGCTACTTCAGCTTTTGGAAGAAAGAGAAGGAGGACCACTACCTCTTGTTTTCCTAGTTGGAGAAACTGTGGCACCAAGTCCAATGGTGGGGGGAAATTCAGACCTTTCAGATCTGGGCCCAGGAATCTGCTCCATGACAAATGGCCACCACTAAGACTAGAAAAAAACAGAAGCTTTGTCAGAAGGTTGAGTTCTCTCCAGAGACTAAGTCCAACAAGCCCTTCCCCAGTCCTCCCTCTGAAGTCCAGACCCCTCTTCCCACAGGAACAGAATCGTTTCCTGTCCAGTTCCCCAAAGCCACCTCTTAACTTTGGTCTAAATTCCTGTCCTCACAACCTCCTGAATCCCAATTCAATCCACAGAAATCTCAACTAACTTCAGGTAACTTGGGAGATCCTTTTCCTCTGTACCTCCTCTCCCAATAGACAGCCCAGCCTTCCCTGCCCACCTTACAGTGTTTTGAACTCAGCAAACAGAGGCCGTGTGAGGGCACTAGGGAGCTGAGGGCCCCACTGACCCCTAGCAGAGCTGACCAATGCCCCTGCCCTGGCCCCAGGAGAATGACCAGAAGCGGATCCGTGCCCTGAAGAAAGCCAACAAGGAGCGAGAACTCAAGAGGCACCGCATGCGGGAGCTGGCAAAGGCCAAGCAGGAGATGGCGGCCTTGCGGCTGGAACACCAGCGGCTGAGCGCCAAGCTGCAGGACTACTCCATCTTCAACAAGTACCTGGAGAAGGTGGTGGAGAGCTCTGAGGCGAGTCCCAGGGGCAAGTAGGAAAGACCTCGGTACTCCCTTTGGCCCCACCTCCCTTCTCTAGGCTCTGGGGTTATTGGAGTGTTTCAATCTGAGTTGGCTGGGATTTGGGGGCTCCTGGCAGATCTGCAGTGATGGTCACACTGGAAAGCCACTAGAAAAGGGCCTTAGACTCTAGTGCACAGCCCTCAGAATGTTGGGGCTCATGTCCATGGGGCCTAATCACACCTACCCAGTCCATGCAGATACCCTCTCTTCAAGACACAGACCCTGAGGACACCTACAGCCATGACATGCAAACTCTCAGGCAAAATGATGTCTCCAAGTAAGCCGGCACTTTTCCCTCTTGAACCCAGGGAGCAGTGGGAGTCTACAGAGGCCCAGCCTTGATCTAGAGCAGGCCATTGCTTGCTCCCTCTCTCTTCCCGGAATCCTCTATCTACTCTGAGCTCACATCTATGGTGGTTGGAAGCCCCTGGATATCCCTGTGGACTTTTTCCTGGGGAAGATTTTATCCCCCACAATGAGGCTTAAAAATGAAGAGAAATTGCTAGCCTGGACTAGATGTTGTTTAGAAAGCTTGTAAGAAGCTTTTGGAGTGCCTGCGTGGCACAAAGAAAAATGAGGCATTCTGGTGGCTCTATGGTTAAAGCATTGAACTGCTAACCCAAAGGTTGATGGTTTGAACCCTCCAGCCACTCCACAGGAGAAAGATAAGGCAGATTGCTTCCATAAGATTTACAGCCTTGGAAACCCTATGGGGCAGTTCTATTCTGTCCTATAAATTCATTATGAGTTGGACTCGACTCCATGGCAGTGAGTTTGGTTTTTTTTTTTTAACCTTCAGTTTGGGTGGTCCAAATGGTTAAGCACTCAACTACTAACTGAATGGTGGTTTGATCCCCGCCCCCTCCCCCCACCCCCAAGCTCTGTGGAGGAAAAGTCTGGTGATCTGCTTCTAAAAGGACAGCTGAAAACTCTCTGGAGTGCAAATCTACTCTGACACATACAGTGTTGTCACGAGTCAAAATTGGCTTGACAGCAGCAGGTTTGGATTCTGGAAGCTTCCAGTGCCACCCCAATGATATTTTAAATCATATTTCTGCTAACCATTAGATAGCACTTACTGTGCACCAGTGGGCTCAGGTGTAGCAAGTATTGTGAGGCTGGCGGAGGACTCAGCAGTGTTTCATAGGTAGGGTCACTATGAGTCGGAGCCAAGCCGACACACCTAGCAGCTGTGCACCAGGCACTGTCCTAAGAACTTACACAGGTATAAGCATTTGCTCCTCACAATCACCCTCTGAAGTGTTCTCCCCATTTTACACATGGGGATAACGTTTTCCACTCCACCTTTATTTTTTTTTTTTAATTTATGTATTTGTTTACTCCCCAGAATTGTATTAAGCATCTGTACTGTTCTAAGGCTTAGCATCCCTCCCTCCTTACTGCTCCAGCTTTCCTGGCCCTGTGGCCAAGTCCCCAGAAGGAAATGTCTGTACCCACAGTCTCTGTGGTCTCACTTTCTGTTTACTCCTTCACCTGGTACAATTTGGCTTCTGCTTCCCTCTCCGAAGTCACCAGTGACCAAACCTTTGAGACTCATTTCGTCTCTAGCCTGGGATTCGCCAGTGGTGTTCACCGACTTTGCTGTATCCTGTGAAGGCACTCATATCCCCCCTCCCCCGGGGCCTTCACCCTCTCTCACAGTGGGCCTTGCTGGGGAGGCCACATCACAGTTTACACAGTTTACAAAGGTCAGGTGCTTTCCTTCCTTCCCAGAAAGTAGCCAGCTAAGAAGAGGTTAGAGCTGAGGGGTGGAGAAGAGACTGAGGAGAGACTGCCTGGTGGGGCTGCACTTGTTTCTCAGGGATTGGGGGCCTGGTGGGATAGCTTTGTGTGTCTGTGTGAGTGAAGTCCGTGTAAATGTCTCTGAGTGTAAGTTGTGTGTTTAGGTCTAGGTTTATGTCTGTCTAAAGCCTTCTGTTGAGGGAAGACCCTCAACAAAATGGATTGACGTAGTGACTGCAATGACGGACTCAAGCGTAGCAAGGATTGTGAAGATGGTGCAGGACCCAGAAGTGTCTCATTCTGTTGTACGTGGGGTCACGAGGACTTGGAGCTGACTTGACTGCAGCTAACAACACAACAGTAAAGCCTCCTGTGTCTTTGTGCGTGTCTGCTGGGAGAGCAGTGTTTTGCAGCAACAAAGATGAGTTTTGGACCAGGCCTCCATTTGCCCTGGCCTGCTCCCTTCACCAGTGTCTTTGACTTAGTTGAGAATAAAATGGGGAGAAGAAGAGAGAGACACTGGGAAAACGCCCTCTTAGTGCAGAGCCAAAAGCCTCTCTGATTTGACTGCTTAGTTAGTATGTGTTGGGCAGTGGGCTCAGGGCTTCACTCGTGAAACTTCATTCAGTCCTCTCATCAGGAAATGGAGGCTCAGAAAGGTGAGGAGAGGTGACCTGCTCAGAGTCTCGCAGCTTGCCAACGGCAGAGCCCTTGCTTTTTACTCACTGTCCTGTGGGCACCACCAATGTCACTGAAAACTGCTCATCTGAAAGTCACCGTGAGGCCAGAGCTACTGGGACTTCTTTCTCCATTCTCATCCCACAACTTGGCAGCATTTGACACTGTTCGGGCTCCTCCTGGAATCATACCTTCGCCTCTGCCTCTATGACAGTTCATGCCATTGCCTTCCTCCTCCCTCCAGCCCCTCCTGCTCTGCCTTCTCTGGGGACTCCTCTTCTAGCCCCATCGGTAAACTTTGTGTTCTTTGGGTCTTTGTCACAGACACCCCACTTTTTCCCCTGAGTGATCCCAGGACCTCACTGCCACCCATGTCCATGGTCATCTATGCTATCCCTCCACCCAGACACCCTGAGGGGTGTGACCACCAGCAGCAGTGACTCCCTGTGGTGGGACCCCATCCATGGAGGGGGAGTATGTCCCTGCAGAGTGTGCATCAGTGTCCTTGGGGGGTGTAGGGAGATGTCTTAGTTTCCTAGTGATCCTGTAACACAAATACGAGTGAGTGGCTTTCAAGAACAGAAATTTAATTTCTCAAGGTTCTGGAGGCTCAAAGTTCAAATCAAGGTCATGGCCATGTCAATTCCTTCCCTGTAGACAGTCCTTATAGATAGTTTCTTGTAACCTTGGCTTGTACATGTTCCTTATACAACATCCATCTCCCCCAACCTGCCCTTCCCTCTCCATGTGCATATCTCTGTGCCTAATCTGCTCTTTTCATTCCTCAGAAGTGATTAGATTTAGAACCCACTTGGGTAGGATCTAAATACCATAACAAATAAAGCCCTATTTCTAAACAGATTCACATCCACAGGTATAGGGTTTAGGATTCTAACATGTATCTTGGGAGATAGGGATACAATTCAATCCATAATGCCCAGTGATGCTTATATAGAAACACTCATCCAACTTGTTTATGCATGAATCCCAAATCTCTGTTATTTCCTCCATTCTAAGGTATCACTTAAACCTCCCTCCCAAAAAAACTAAGCCAGTTGCCACTGAGTTGATTCCAACTCATGGTGACCTCATGTGTTACAGAACGGAACTGTTCCATGGGGTTTTCTTGGCTGTAATCTTTACAGATACAGTCATGCACCATATAACATTCATTCATGCATATCTGACCACGTATATGTCTGTGGTCCCAACTCCAATAAAGCCTTATGTATTAAAAATTCTAGATACTTAAAATGGCTCATTTGGAAGGAAGGTTGGGCAATCTACTTCCGTAGTGATACTGCCTTGGAAACCCAAGGAGGGGTCGCTATGAGTCAGGTCTGACTTGACGGCACATAACAACAATGGTTCATATTAACAAATGGCCACTACTTTGCAACATGCATCAAAACATTATTATTATTACTGTATTATTATGTTAAGAATGCTTTAGTGTATATAGAAGTTTTCCTTCATGTTTTTATGCATAGAAAGGTACTACATACTATATACTAAGACAAACGTTTGACTAACTGATGTTAGATATGAACTGTACCTAACTGTTTTGACTTATGTACGAATTTGACTTAAAGACAGACTTAGAAATGGAACTTGTTCATAATCAGGGACTGCTGGTATATAATACGGTGTTCACACAATGCCCAAATCATGAGCATCCTATTTGACAGAATGTCGTATGGATATTAAGCAACACATGATTATAGGTTATTTAATATTGATGCTTTTTTTGTGTGTGAAGGTAGTTAGGGAAAAGAAGCCCTGGTGGCACAAACGGTTAAGAGCTCAGCTGCTAACCAAAAGGTTTGTGGTTCCAACCCCACTCGATGGTTCCACACAAGAGAGACCTAGCAATCTACTCCCATAAAGATTATGGTGTTGTTTTGTGCTGTTGCGTTGGATCCAACTCATAGCGACCCCTCTTTGGGTTTCCAAGGGGGTATTGCTATGGAAGTAAATTGCTCAACCTTCCTTCCGAGGAGTGGCTGGTGGGTTTGAACCACCAGCCTTCTGGTTAGCAGTCAAGTGCCTTAGACACTACACTACCAGAGCTCTAGACAAGAAAATCCTATGCAGTTCTACTCACATAGGGTTACTATGAGTCAGAATCAAGCTCGATGGCACCTAACAACAAGCTAGGGAGGTCACCCTATTAAGAATGAGTCCCAATGTAGTGCAAATAGTTAAACACAGGCAGTCTGATCCCACCTAGAGGTATGCAAATGCAATGCAATCACTGCCCTTGAGTCCGATCCGATCCGACTGATAGAGACCCCTCCTTGGGTTTCCCAGGCAGTATCACTATGGAAGTAGATTGCCCAACCTTCCTTCTGAGGAGTGGCTGGTGGGTTTGAACCACCAGCCTTCTGGTTAGCAGTCATGTGCCTTAGGCACTATGCCACAAGAGCTCCTTGGTCATATTAAAGAAGCAGATAATGATATGGAATGTGTCAGATTCTGAGATGGAACAAAATATATCTTAGAACTGAGGAAATTGGGTGTATCTCTGATCAGTATCTCTCTCCTAAGCTTCAGGCCACTATATATATCTCCTTGCTACCACACCTCAACTCATCTGCTTCCTCCCACCACCGGGCCAGCCCTGCTGCTGATATGTCCTCTACTGAGGAGTGGCACAACCACCCACTCAGGGGCCACCCACTCACAGCCCCGCCAGAACGCAGGCCTCAGCGCTTGACTCCTCCCTCTCATTCACTCCCATAGCTATCAATCACCAGATCTGCTCTAGCCTGCCTCTGAAGCATTTCTGGAATCTATCCCCTGGCCCTGCCCTCATCTAAGACCACCAGTGTACTGCATCTGGAGTTCAGCTTTCTGTTATTTCTGGAAGCCTGTTTCACCTTCTACAGCCAACGTGATCTCCCATCCTTTCTTTTTCCCTTCCCTTTCCCTTCCTCCCTCCCTTCCTCTCCCCATTCCTCCCTCCCTCCCTTTCTCTCTCTCTCTCTCCTCCTCTTCCCTCCCTCCCTCTCTTCTTCTTCCTTCTCATTCTTCTTCTCTCCTCTCTCTCCATTTCTTTTAAATTACTTTAAGCATATAAAAAGTATAGAAAAATACATAACAGTACCCAAGTACTCACTATACAGCTTTGTCAGATCTTAACGTTTTGCCTTATTTGCCCTGGATTGTTTTTTTCTAAGAAACAAAACACTGCAGGTGGTTGAAACACCTCTTGTGCTCCTTGGAATCTCGTTCCCTCTCCTCAAAGTGAACCAGTGTTCTGATTGTCAAATTTCTCATTCTTACGCTTTTTTTCCTTCTTTTGCAACATATTACCGGCTGCTGTCGAGTCAACTCTGGCTCATGGTGACGCATGTGTGTCGGAGTGGAACTGTGCTCCGTAAGGTTTCCAGTGACTGGTTTTTCAGAAGTAGATTGCCAGGCCTTTCCTCCAAGGTGCCTCTAGGTGGACTTCAACTTCCAACCATTCAATTAGCAGCCAGGTGCATTAACCATATGAATAAACTATATAAAGTATTACCCATAGTCTTTTGCCACTTGCTTTTTTCAATCAATGGTACCATTTTTTTTTTTAAAGGAAATCTTTTTATTATGGAAAATTTCAAACTTATACCAAAGTAGAGGAAGAATAGTCTAATGAATGTCCATTGCTCATTAGCTAGTTCCAACAATTATCAACTAATATCCCCCTTACCTTCCCACCGCCACCATTTGGAAGCAAATGATGTTTTTTCATCCATAAGTTTTTCAGTATATATCTCTGAAAGTTAAGGGCTTTTTTAAAAAACATAATCACAATGCTATTATCACAACTAGTTAAAATTTAACAGCAATTTTTTAAATTAATTGATTACTTTTTATTGTGATTAGGGTGAATGCTTATAGATCAACTTCATTTTCCATACAGCAGCTCATGCACGTTTTGTTTTATGACATTGATTGCAATCCCCACACCTTAACAGCTTTCTTCCCACTTCCTCCCTGTGATTATCCTTCCCCTTTGTTCTTCTTTCCTATGATTCCTGCCCTCTAAGCTATCTCCCTGTGTAAATATTGCCCTTCTGATATCCCATGTGTTCTGGTTACCTAGTGCCACTCTGAGAGGAATATACCACATATGGGATGGCTTGAACGAGCAGGAGTTTATTCTCTTACAGTTTGGGAGGCTAGAAGTCTAAGTTCAAAGTGCCAGGCTCTAGGGGCTGAGTGAAAGCCCCTCGACCTTGGGTTTCAGCTCTGTCTCTGGTTCCCAGCCCACTGAAGCTGAAGGCTTTCTTTGCTCAGGCTGCTGCTGGCTACTGAGGCTGACAAACCCCAAGGTTGACAAGTAAAAAGGCACAGTCCCGATGTTACCAAACCACACAGCAGACCATTAATTCAAGTCCATTGAAAGTCCCAAGATTGGCAGAGCATGGCAGGCTACTGAATGAAGACTCGGCTACATGCAGGGTTCAAGTGTGCCAAAAAGCTGGAGACCTTCCTCAAAGATGCTTCTTGTATACTGGAAGCAGACCACATCCCTAAAGCAGCTACTCAGCTGCTCCCATAGATTCCACCATGGAAGCTCCCCTGGAGCGTGTCCACCATGGTTGGCCCTGCTGGTATTTGAAATATCATTGGCATAGCTTTGTATTAGGGGGAAAGAGATCCCAAATTCAAATAGGTTCAATAAAGACACTTTTCTTAAGCCTTGGTCAGAACAAAGACAATCATCCTGGATGAGGAAAACCATCAGCCAAATGAAGTCTGCTGAGTCATGGCCATGGGGTTAATTAAGTATGATTTTAAAACACCACAAAATCATGCTTGGTGGTAGATAGATTGTTACAGGCTACTGCAGAAGCCAGGTAAAGACCATGATTGGGATTTGAAGATAGGAAAAGGTTACAGGATTGGTTCTGGGCCTTGACTACCTGCCTAGGTGGTGGTCCAGATAGGCTGGGATTAATGCAGCCTGAGTCTTAGCCACAAGGTGGCTACTAAACAATACCAAGACCCCATCCTTAATTTCTCGGAAGGAAGACTGGGCAATCTACTTACATAGAGATACTGTCTTGGAAACCCAAGGAGGGGTCGCTATGAGTCTTTGAGTCAAGATCAATTCCATGGCAGTGAGTTCCAAGGCAGTGAGTTTTTTTGTTTTGTTTTGTCTTAACCTTAATTTAAATCATAAAAGGACACCCTCAGGCTAGTTCCCTAGTTCTTTATGAGTGCATAATCCACTTTCAACCATATTCTTCCTGAAGGCAAACTGCCCCTACCTAGGTTTGTCCTAGAACTTGTCTGTGATACCTACAATGCTGGTTTATGACCAGAAAGAACCCAAATTGTATCTGAAACTTATGTGAAGCCTCAAAATGGAATTAGGGCTCCCACTGAGGACCATAGCCTTCCACAACCCCAAGTGCTTTAGAAATTAAGCTCTTGTATGACCTCCACCATCATAACAACGTGCAAGCCACCAACCACAGTACAACAAAGTGACAGTGAGGTGGTGGCACACATCTTTACCCATGCTGTTTCCTCTCCCCGTAATATTTCCTCACCTTCCCCTACTTCCTTTTGCCGGCTACTTTCTATCCATACCTCCAGCCTCATTTTAGCCATCCTTTTCCCCAGGAATGCTTTTCTGGCCGTTCCACCTCCAAGCGTTAGTGGGTTGCACCTCCCCACAGAGCTATATTTGGGGAAAAAACTAGCAGGGTAGTCCTGGGACACTAATCTCTCAGAAATGTGAAGAGATGGAGAAAGCACTCAAGGTGTGTCCCCTGGAGCTGCAGGTGCACATTGACAAACCCCTGAGGAGATAAGTTGGAGTCACAGCAACTGGTGCTCACATTGCCTTCTAGAGAGAGTGGGTTGCAGGACTTTTGCTCCTCTGAGTGTGGCTCGTGGTGTAGGGGCAGAATGAGATGGTTCTGCATTATCCTGGAGGAGGCCAGCTGGGCCTGGAAGACCACCTGCCCCACTGGACCTCTCCAGCTCCAACTTCTCCCAAATAAATACCAGTAAATGTTGAATAAATATCAGAGAGCACCAGGCTTGAAGGAGCATCAAGGTACTATCCCACACATCTCAGCCCAGCTCTGTCCACCAATCATGTCCTTGTTGTAAGTTGCTATTGAGTTGGCTCTGACTCATGGTGACCTTATGTTTAACAGAACAAAACATAGCCTGGTCCTGAGCCATTCTCACCATCCTTGGTATGTTTGAGCCCCCAGTCACAGATAGGGCTTATCGCTGTGTGTTGTAATGGCCTATTTACTCATCTGTCTATCCTCCCTCCCTTCACACCACCCCCTGTGCTATAAGCTCCATAAAAGCAGGGCCTGGCTTTCTTATCTCTTGCTGTGTCCTTAGCATTTAGCACAGGCCCTGGCTTGTAAATGGTTCTTGCTACATTCTTCTAGAATGAAGTAAGTATTGCCCTGGGTAGTTGTTGTTAGTTGTAGTAGAGTTGGCCCCTGACTCATAGCAACTCTTTGCACACACAAAAAAACACTGCTCAGTCCTGTTCCATCTCCATGATAGGTGGGGAATTGGACCATCGTGATCCTAGAGTTTTCAAAAGTAGATCACCCGGCCTTCTTCCTAGTCTGTCTTAGTTGGATCAGAAGCTCTGCTAAAACCTCCAGCATCATAGCAACACACAAGCCCCACTGTTGGACGCTTTATAGCTCTGCCTGAGGTGCATTGGTGGGAACCGAATGCTACCACTGGATCACCACTGCCCCCTTATTGACTTGGAAGACATCTCAAAATGGCTCCCATCAGCAATTCTCACCCCTGGGTGCACTTTGAATCACCCAGGGGAGTTTTGTAAAATTCAGATGACAGGGGCCACCTCAGATCTTTTCATGAATCCACATTTCTGGGAGTGGAGCCTGGCAGGTATCTTTTTTAAAGCTCCTCTGGTGGTTCTAAGATGCAGTCAAGATTGAGAATCCCCTGCCCAGTTGCACCCTGCCCAACACAGAGACAATAACCCATACCAACCCAGGAGAAGTATAGGTGATACTCCAACATCCTCACAACTTTTCGCTCCTTGCCTCTGGCTCTGGGCCTCCCTGCTTGGTGGGTTGTCTATGCTGACCCCTCGGCAGTGCAGTGACCTGAACATCTGGCCACAGTTTGAGGAGATACACGAGGTGATCGCACGCTACAAGACGCTGGTGAGCATGCACCACGACCTCATGCAGTCGGCACAAGAAGGCCAAGAGAAGATCGAGCGCGCCAAAGCGCGACTGGCACGCTACATGGAGGAGAAGGACGATGAGATCCTACAGCACAACAACGAGCTGGCCCGGCTGCAGATGCGCTTTGACCGTGCCCGTAGTGATGTCATTGTCTGGGTGAGGGGCTCATCAATCATCCTGGGCTCCCAGGGTGGGGCAAGTGAAGGCCTCTAGCCCTCCATAGCACACCCATCCTAACACTTCCTGCCCTCACACCCCTACCCTGTGCCCTCCCCAGGAATCTCGCTGGGCACACATCCAGAACACTGCAGCCAAGAAGACTCTCCTGCTTGGCACCATTAAGATGGCGACACTGAACCTCTTCCAGATCGTGAGCAAGCAGCTGAAGGAGACAGCTAATGTGTCCCTGGATGACACACACAAACAACTGGACATGGTAGGAGGATGGGTAGGCACCTGGGTATGGCTGAGTGGGCTGTGCTAGGAGATTCTAGATTTGTTGAGTGGCAGAATGAGCCCGTCAGAGACAACCAAAATCCACTGCTGTCGAGTCGATTCCAACTCAGCCACCCTAGAGGACAGAGTAGAACAGCCTCAGGGTTTCCAAGGCTGGAAATCTGTATGGACACAGACTGTCACATCTTTCTCCAGTGGGGCAGCTGGGTTTGAACTGCTGTCCTTTCAGTTAGCAGCCAAGCTGCTTAACCACTGCACCACCAGGGCTCCTTCTGGATACTGCCCACCCACCCACCTACCCACCCACTGCCAATGAGTCGATTCCCACTCATAGTGACCTTACAGGTGAGAGTAGAACTCCCCTATAGAGTTTCTAAGGCTGTAAATCTTTACAGATGCAAACTGCCTCATCTTCTGCAAAGCATCTTGTGGGTTTGAACCGCTGACCTTTTCATTAGCAGTCAGATACTTTAGCCACTGCACACCAGAGCTCCTACACCACCAGAGCTTCCCCCCAACAGAGCAGTAAGTCTCAAATTTTAACAGGCATCAGAGTCACCTGGGTAGTGGAGAATATTGCCAGGCCCCACCCCTAGTGTCACTGATTTGATAGGTCTGAGATGGGAGCCAGAGATTTTTCGTTTTCAACAAGTCCAGCTGATTCTGCTGGTCTGGGTTCCACACTGTGAGAACCACCACATGAGAGCAAAGACCCGTGGGCCCCAATCAAGGCGGGCAGTAGCAGGAACCACTGTTGAATTCATTAGTTGTGCAAAACAATCTTTTTAACTTCTAGTCAGGTACTATGGCTTGCTAAAGCCTTATGCCCAAGGCCTATTTTGTTAAAAAGGACAATTGGCAAGTACAAAAAGTGTGAAAGTCATATTAATACCAATCTGAATCTTGACAGTTCAAACTCATCAGCCACTCCTCAGAAGGAAGGTTGGGCAATCTACTTCCATAGTGATACTGCCGCGGAAACCTAAGGAGAGGTCGCTATGATTCGGGTCCGACTCGACAGCATATAACAACAACAACAAATAGGAAATAATTTTTTCACTGTAGGATTCAAAATTATTTCATTGCATATCCTAAAGTTACTTCCTCATACTATCACTGCATCTGCATGTAGGAGTTGACAACTCCATACCTACTTGTTGCTTCTAGTCTGCCAAACCTGATACTAGATTTCTGCAGGATGTGGGAATGTGGCCTCCTGAAGACGTCAGTCACAGGAGAGCACTGGACTCGTTATATGTTATGCCCAGGGGTGCTTCGTCTTGGGACAGGGGAGCCCTCTTGCCGAGCAGGGTTACCTCTGGTCCTCTTGCCTTGTTAGATCCAACAGTTTATCCAAGACCTGTCAGACATCTGGGCAGAAGTGAAGAAAAAGGAACAGCAGCAAATCCGGGTTTAAAGAGGCAAATGTGCTTCCAGAATATTCTGAGATGGAGAATAAATAAATGCTTGGTGAGCTTATAGTCCAGTCAGCCCAGCCCACTGAAGACCGAGTGCCACAGACAGTGGGTGAACACCCTGCCATTTTCCCCTGCACTTCAGTCCATCCCAGCCCTGAAAACATTAAAACTTAGAAGGTTTTTCCTAAATTCTCACTATTTTTCGGTGGTTTATTCAATAGAAGAGGGCCAGTGGGGGGAGGGGCCTCTCAAACCTGGTCACTTAGGGACTAGAAACCAAATCTTAGGTATGGTGTCTCCTAGGCTTTAGATGAGTGGGTGAGTGGGTGGGCAACAGACCAGTGGGGTTAGTACTTAGGACCCTTTTTTCTTCCACTACTCAAAAAAAAAAAAAAAAGTGTTTCTAATCTGAGTAGCATAGTGCCTAAGACACTTGACTGCTAACCAGAAGGCTGGCGGTTCAAACCCACCAGCCACTCCTCGGAAGGAAGGTTGGGCAATCTACTTCCCTAATGATACTTCCTCGGAAACCCAAGGAGGGTCCGACTTGATGGCACATAACGAGAACAATCTGAGTGCAAAGAATCACTGCTGAAAATTATAAGGCAGCTTTCCAAGTCAGTGTTCCAAAGATGCTGGATCAAGAACACTTCATTGACTTTAGGAGCAAGCTCTGTTCTCCTGCCTCCTGTTGTCCTAAAACATATATAATATGGTGTGTTAGACTGGGTTCTCTAGAGAAACAAAACCAGTAAAGCTTATATAGAGAGAGAAAGAGAAATTTATCTTAGGAAAATGGCTCACACACTTATAGAAGCTGGCATGTCCAGAGTTCTTGGATGAAACGTCAAGCTGGAGGCTTTTCCTGACTCTCGCAGCTGCAAGGACTGATGAGCTCAAGGTTGGCAGGCAGTGTACTGGGTGTTGACTCCAACAAATGATGAATAGAAGATCTCCAGGCCAAATGGTGGATTGTTTGCTCACAGACAGTTGTAGGCAGCACAACTGAATCCTGATGCACAGAAGAATGTCTCTTTTCCCAGGATGTCCATAAATATACCGGAAGCAGGCCACACCCCTAGGGAAACTCCCTTTCAACGGATTGGCTGCTCAAAACATAATCATCTGATCCCATCATGGGTATAACCACATCACAACTGCTTAAACCACACAGAATTATGGTCCAGCCAAGTTGACACACAGCTCCAACTATCACATCTAGTATCAGCAGTACTAATGAAAAAATAGTAGGCAGGCTACTCTCTAACATGTGAGGGACCACAAATATGCCAAATGACAACTTCAAACCTCAGGACAATCTTAACAGGCTAGAACAATGGGTTAAAGACAGCGAAAACTAAACAATACAGGTAAATGTAGCATCTTGCACTCAGTTTCAAAAACTCCATTGTACATTTTGAAATCATCAATGGAGACATCCAGGTAGAGACCCAAGGGACATTAGCAATAAAAGGAGTGACATTTATTGAGCATATAGTTCATAGAGATCATCCTCATGAAAACTGTAAAGCAGTAGTATCCCGGCTGGACTGCAAAGGACACTGGCTTCAGGACCCCAGGGCCAGAATTCAAACGTGGGTCGACCTGCCCGAAAGCCTGTGCTCATCTCTACTAGCCCACACTGCCTCCAAAGCAGGCTGATGGGCAGGCCTGAACAAGGCTTCTCATTTCCTCCTTGCCCATGATCCTGGAGGGCTCCTACAAGGGAGGGCATTGGTGTAGCCTGCCTCCCTGGGACCCTGGTTTGGGCTCCAGTAACGCCTCACCTTTGTGTACAGTATCGTACCACAGTGGTTCTCAAAATATGATCCCCAGCCTCACTTGGGAGCCTGTTAGAAATGGAAATTATCAAGCCCTGAGAATCTAAAACTCGGGTAGTACTCCTCAATCTCAGTTTTAACAAACTCTCCCACGTGATTCTGACATGCACACTGTCTTAGACTGAACCAAACACTTTCAAGTACCTGGGCTCCATCTCCTATGGTGTAAGGTAATATATATTAAAACCTGTATCAGTCTGCATTCAATCAGAGAAGCAGAACCATTAAAAGCGAGAGATGATTGATAGATAAAGAGAGAGAGAGAGAGAGAGAGAGAAATGTATATAGATAGATACAGATATAAAGGATATAAAGGAATTTGTTACAGAGATTTGACCTTGGCCAACTATGGGAGCAGATTAAGCAGTCTCTGTAAGGTTGTCATCTTGCATCAGATGCTGGAGCTTGAAAACCACATGGGGGTTGTTGGGAAGGAGATATGAATGGGTAGTGGGGAAATCAAGAACAAGCTGGAGTCTATGAGGATGAACCCACGTCGGTTCTTGTTGCTTCTGTACTTGGTGGTGTGGGTGTCCTGCAGAAGCCAGGACTCTTTGTCATAGAGCTAAACACACACAGACTTGGCCTAGGAGTTGGAGAAGTTAGAGGAGGATCCAAGAGAAGGTGAAGGAGTTGGGGCTTGCTCCCAGCCTCACACCCACAGCTGCTGCTTCCCTCCAACCTACAACCTCCCACAAGAAACCCCCTGTGGCCCACCCTAATCTGAAACACATAAGAAATAAAATTCTGGGAAATACGGTCCTCTCTAGCCAAATTGACACATTACAAAGCCACTACCCTTTCACTGTCTCCATTTTACAGGTGAGGAAATGGAGGCTTGGCCTTCTTTAGAGGAAAGACATGGACACAGAGGTCCCACTAGAGATGGCTGGCCCTGGCCATGGACACTTCTCTCTAAAGGGGCTGGAGGGCAGAGGCCATCTTATAGATCCAAGGCTGCTCACAAGGGAACAGGGAGGGGGATGTCTCTCAACGGAAGGAGCGTGAGGGTTGGAGGAATCAGAGCCTTCCAGAAACAAGTTTGTGGGTGAAATGTATGCCTCTAAAATAGTTTCCATGACTGGTTTGCCTACTGGGCTGTGTACTGGGAGGTGGGAGAGGGTGCCAGACTGACACTTCCTCCAGCCCCCAGCACACGCATCTCTCATTTCCACTGCCTCTATGAGGTGTCCTTTGAGAAGTCCAGCCTGTGAGAACTGAGCAGACTCTTGGTGGGGTGAAGGTCCTACTAGCTGTGCCCCAAGGCCTTGTGCCAGGGAGCTACAGTTCCCTCTCTCCCTTCCTTCCCCACCTCCCCTCCTCTGGCTTTACCCCCTTGGAGTGTCAAGTTTCTTGCTCAGCTAATCTGTGGACTAGGACTAGCGAAGGGTCACACTTAGAATTCCTATGATCACACACAAGCTCATCTTAAAACCCCGGGTTTACACACGTGCCTAAAACTCACTCTGATAGTGTTGCATTTTTAAGGTTTTTAAAACAGGCCCAGCCCTGGGGCCGAAGAAATTCTGTGGTTTAGGCAGATTTCTGGATTACAAGAGAAGCCACAAATCCACAAACTCATTCCCAAGCCAACCAGAAAGAGGGAGTGCAAATCCAGAAGGCTCCAGGGATCCTGAGGAGCTTGAGTGAGAGACTTCCCGTCAGGAGTGGGGAGGACAGCGGTCAGGCACAGTCCTCGCCCTCTTTCCCTCACCTCAGGTCCTCAGGCCCTCGGCATGTGTACCCCGGGCCCTGTACCCACACAGAGAAACCCAAGACTTCCCAATTAAGAGAGATTTGGACTTCCATATGAATGAGATCATTTCCAAGAACAAGAATATGAAGCTTAAGGGCCTGATTGGAGTTTTCCCATCAAGAAAAGACTCTAGCCCATTAAAGCAGAAATAACTGATTGGTTCCAGAAATGAATGCCTCTCATCAACAAAGGCAGCAAGCAGAGCTCTGGGTATTTTAAGGGCAAAGGGAGGCAAAAGGAGGGAAGCCCTTCAGTGCCTTGTTCTCAGTGCGAACCAAACTAGCTGCCATCTGACTTCGACTCATGGCAACCTCATGCACCTGAAGTGGAACCAGGCTTCACAGGGTTTTCTGTCATCTTTCAGAAGAATATCACGTGGCCTTTCTTCCAAGGTGCCTCTGGATGGGTTCAAACCTCCCACCTTTTCGTTCAGCAGTTCAGCACTTAATCATTTGCACCACCCAGGGACTCCTCTCAATACTATTAGACTCCATCCCCACCGAAGTCTATTAGCTCTTCCTGATAGAAGGGAGTACAGGAAGGAAGAAACAAACAGAAGACAGGGGCTGGGGGTGGGGTGGGCGGTAGCTTGAGAGGGAAGGGCCTCAGGTATGAAAGAAGGCTACAAGCAGAGACCCAAGGATCAAGGTACACATGGGCTTAATAGTACTTACTCAATAATCTGTGGTGAATTGCAGCCAAGGAAATCCTATGGAGCCCCTGAGACTGTGGTCCTTAGTCACCCTTCAATCCTGGAAATGAACTCATCCCACTGGCTCAACATTTAGCCAAACAATAGCCGGCTTACAAGGTGAATAATAACACTCAGACGGTACACACTCCGTAGAACAATCAGCCACACTAGATCAAAAGAGCAGCTTCTCCCAGAGATAGAGCTCAGAAGCCAGGAAAGAAGGACAGATGGAAATGGGGAACACAGAGAGGAAGTGGGACGAATGAGGTTATGCGGTGAGGACTGCAATCAATGGCATGAAGTAAAATGTGTATTAACTGTTGAATGGAAAACCAATTGGCTCTGTAAACTTTCACTCAAATCACAATTTAAAAATTTTTTTTTTTTAAATAATGTGGGGTACAGTCAATGTCATGAAATAAAATGTGTATGAGCTGCTATATGGAAAATGAATTTGCTCTGTAAACTTCCACCCAAATCACAATAAAAATTAAAACAATAATAATTTTAAATAAATAAATAAATAAATACTCTTCAGCAAACTATTATTAATGATTAATTAACAAACAGATTAGTAAGTAAACACAATTAAGCCTCTACACTGGGAGGCTGGCACAGGCCCGGGCAGTGTTTCGTTCTGTTGTATACACGGTCACTGAGTCAGAGCTGACTCGACGGTACCTAACAGCAACAAAATAATACCTCACT